CCATTCCAAGCTTTAACTTGTTTTTAAACAAATGTTTAAACATCTCTACTTATTCAATTATGTACAAGCTGCCCAGTATTAGATAACAATACAAAGAATTGAATTGTGGCAGAATGCTACAAGTTCTTCAAATACCTATAGAATGATAGGTTTCTTTTTGGTGAGTGTAAAACACGTAAATACACCAGTTTGATGTGCATTTGTGTTCATAGAAACTGCTATTTTCCTTATAAATCATGTAATATATACTTGTATGCTTTATTTTTATACATCTTAATTTAATATTTTTCTATTTCACTTTTCTTTTTAAGGCATTATATTGGTTTAGTGATTATATTATGTAAATAATTTTTGAAAATCATAAGTTAAAACTAATGCCTGAAGGTAGCTTTTCAGTAATTGAATTTGATGGCCTAATGACATAGATGTTTTTAACTTTCTTTTGATTTTTTATTCTATTTAGTTTTTTTTTAACCACTGTAGTTTTTTTCTGAGAATGGTGCAAGGACTGAATGTTTAAAATGGGAAAAATAAGTTGAGTTTATCTAGTGCCAAATAAACATTATAATAAATTTTATAAAAGTTATAAATCCTAGAAGACAGAAGGAAAAAAAAAACTGAAGAAAGGTAGATTGGAAATAAATGTATAGTGTTGATATATATATTGGGTTCAACAAAAAAATATACACATTTTAATGTGGCCCAAAAAAAAAGTACAAAATCTGGTGATTACCAAATAACGAATGAATTTAAAGACTAATCATAAAAGTCTATGTTCCCATAATCTCTTTCCGCATCACATGTTTAACATCGGCTCCATATTTACTGATAATAGCCTGCATTTGGACTGAAATATTGTTCAGCACTTCAGGGAATATTCCTAATCTACCAGCAGATATTATCCTTGAGCTCATTAATAGTCCAAGGCATGGGGTTAGCATAAATTCTGTCTTTTAGATAACCCCATAAAAAAGAAGTCTGGAGGTGATAAATCCGGTGAATGTGAAGGCCATTCCACATCTTCATAAAGAGAAATCAGTCTGTCTGGAATTTTTCACGAAGGTAACACCTTGTGTCCCTGGCTGTATGACGAGTTACCCCATCCTACTAAAACCAGTGTTGTCATGTGAATACTTCAATTTCTTTGTCAAGACTGTTTGCATAGTTCAGAAAGATAAAATTCCTGGTTAACATTGACTGTTCATCCTCAAAAAAGTATGGACCAATAATAACCACCACATGATAACTTTGAAGACAGATCATAAAGTTTCCTCTATCAAATGATTGCAAGGATTCTCAGTATCTGAAATTTTGACTGTTGATAAGGCCTGACAAATGAACGTGACATACATCACTCATGTGGAGTCGTTTTAGAAAATCTCTATCACTCTCCACCTTCTCAGAAAACCACTTGGCAAAATCTAAATGTTTGCATTTTTGCTGTGTAGTTAATTCACTTTGTATATGGACTTTGTAAGGAAATGCATGTAATTCAGTCCTAAGAGTGTGGTGAACAAATGTTTTAGGGATTTTTGTCTCTGCAGATAGTCATCGGAAAGACTTTCTTGGACTGTTTGTTTACCGTTTCTCTTACTGTTCTCACATTTTTAGCACTGCTAACAGTTTGCCTTTTGTCACCATGGCCTTTATGCTGATCACGAATAGTACCCATTGTAACAAACTTGGTCACAGTTTGAGAAGTAGTTTTCTTAGTTGGTGCTTCCATGACACCAAAATGTCTACAGTAGCTGCACTGTATCTGTACTACATGTTTGTTTACTGCCACCATTCAGTAATTTTCGTTTGTTGAATAAGTATCAATCTTGCCAAGTTCAAACTTCAGGTTTCCTTTGAAACAGAAAATAATATTCGTTATATGTATCGCAGTGTATAGGCATTTAAACACGACCCAAAATAGGTACATTTTTTGGGGACATCGTATATATAGATAAGTAAGTATATCATACATGCGTAGAAAAAGTAAGTATGGTATAATGTTTGTATAAAATTAAATAAGCTGATTTTAGAAAATTACACAGGTGTAATTAATTATATATGTTTTAAATGTACAGCTAGTAAATATAATCTCAATATCTGATATATATAAATTTGCATTTTGAGTAAAACTGTTAAATGCAAGAATGTGCCCAAAAGTATGTTCTACAGGTTAAGATAAAATCTAAGTTTGTAAAGTGTATAAAACTATGTGGGATCCATCCTTTTTTTTTAATAAATGTGTGGAATATATTAAACTGCATTTTGTGAGTAATTCAATTTATGTGACACTCCAAGAATTTGTGTCCAATTTATTTTACTGTAACACAGAGCTAAAGATCTTTACGTTGTTCAACTTTTTACGAAAATTTGGTATTGGATACATTGAAATGTGATATTGTATTTATTTTATATTGGCAGTTACTTTCAGTTTGATGGTTATGGATGTATACATTTTAAAACCGCAAAGTATGGATATCGATACTGTAAATTGATAGTTTATGTAAAGTATATTTAATCTAAAATTAATTTCTGCTTAATGCTTCACAATATTTTAGTTAACATTAAATCAACCAAAAACAAAAGCCTGTTTATTACATGCTTTTGAATAGATGCATCTAAGTTATAAAAAAAATGAGTTTTTGGTTTGATCATTTATGGCCATGTTACTTCTTTATAATATAGGTATGTATTCAATATATAAAAATGTAAATTATAATATAAATTTACAGAAAAACCTATAACAGTTTATTTTGTCTAAACCAGTGTTTTCCAAAATTTAAATAGCAGTGCCTCCCTCTAACTCAGTAAAGTTTCTGTTGCACCCCCTCCTTCACATTAAAATAACTTTTACAAATGAGAACAGCAAAATGAACATTTTCTTTACAGGTTTTTAATTTTAAATTGAATCTTTATGATGTAGGATATTAGCAGTTTTCTGCTAAAGTGGCTATAAAACTGATTCAAGAAAAAAAACTTAATGTGTTATAAGATCTTTCTTAGTGTGTTTAAATAAAGTTTCTTTTGGTATTATTCAATCACTAGTACATTTATTGGTGTAAAACATTTTTTTATTGTAATAACAAATTTACAACCAAAAACTAGCAACAGTTCAAATCTTAGTACAACATATTGTGTAATGACTAAAGCTTCAGATGATATGGCTTTGCACCAAATTTGTATCCTATTATATATATATATATATATATCACTTAATTACTTTTTTTTTTAATTTGAGGTGAAACTTTTAAAGAATACTTTCAAAACACTTGATAATACAGAGGATGGATATACATTTAACAAGACATTTCCTGTAAAAAAATTTGTACTATATGTTTGTAAATGTTGTATTTAATGTACACAATAATTAAAAATTAAGTATCATCTGATGAATCCAAGTACTTCCACAAGCTGTAATAAAATGCTATATTTAAAATTCTACTGTTACCTCACAATGTGCCCCCAGTGGCACAGCAGTATGTCTGCGGATTTACAACACTAGAATCCGGGTTTTGATACCCGTGGTGGGCAGAACACAGATAGCCCATTGTGTAGCTTTGTGCTTAATTACAAACAAACAAACCTCACAATGTTTAAAAAAATCAGCATTAAGAAACACCATGAATTCTTAGTAAAGCGGTACAGTCCTGTAACCTTTAAGGGGGTCTCCAATAAAACTGAAAGTTGACCTTAGCTTGTTCAATAATTATAGTGTCATCAGTTACCACCAATTTAATTAAACCTGTAAATAAAACCTAACAACTTCATTGTTTTCTTTCAAGAAATTAACAGTTTTGATAGTAAAATAAATGTCATCTGATCTGTATCTTTAGAGACAGAACTTTGGTATTTTTGTAAATCAACTGCAGAAATTCTTGTCTGAATGTCAAGTTATTTGAGCTTTTACTGAGTATTCATTTTAACATAGGAATAGTTTGAGCTCTAAATACTTCTGAGTTATTATCAAAATTGACAACAGTGAAAAGTTAGAATTTAGTGTTGTTTTAGGACTGAAAAAATGCTAAATTAATGACTCCAGAATCTGTATTTGAGAAAAATGCTATATTTTTAGTTTTCATCCATTAAATAGCTATTAGCTACGGACTTAATATTTTGTCTTCATAAAATCACTTTACTGATAAAATTAATTGTAACTTACCTAGACTCTGTATAGTACCTAAATAACATATTTAATTTTTCCCCCCTAGTAATTTTTTCTTGATCATATTGTACTTTGTCCAAGAATTCATATTACATCAGTTTTCACTATAAAGATATTTATGAATGAGTAACATTTTCTACTACAAAATACATAATGGTAATCAAAATATTTAAACTGTTTGAATGAGGTCTACAAAATAGGCAAATTGACAAAAATTAACATGGAAAAAATGGTATTTTTACATAGAACTACATGGACAGTACTGAGCATCCTCTTTAAAAATAGCTAATTATTCTGTTTTATCACATGAACATGTAGAAATCTAACCTTTTTGATTTCAGGCTATTTTAAAATAAACCATTAAGTAACTTTATTTTATATAAAACAAATATATCAGTGTCCAAGATAAATCTTGCAAACAGGTGAAAGGTTTGTTGCAGAAACTTAGACCATGAATGCTGAAATGCATATACCAGTACACTGCCAAGGCTGGTGTGTTTAGAAGCATGTAATGTACTGTGGTTCATCAACATCTAATAGTGCCCAATACATGATATGATGAACAATATTTTACTAGAATTATATTTAATTTAGGCTATTAATAATTATGTAAATTCAGCATTGATTTTTTTGTTTTCCAATTGCTTCAAATACACCTTTCGTTTTTGGTGTGTGTTCCAGCCAACCAGCCTCAGACATTGAAAATTTGGTATCCTGATCTTTAAGTTATGTGGTTATAGTGATTTTATTGAAAAATGTCTAGTAAGTATATACTTCCACACATACTAATATAAGTAGTCTTGCTGATGAAAATTTAAGAAATTACATCAAACTACCCCCCTCCCTCAAAAGGAAAAAAAGCCAAAACATTTCATTACTTAAGACAAATTATAGAACAATAAGATACACAGTAACAGAAAAATTTAGTATTCCAATGTAAACAAACATGAAGAGAAAGCTGTAGAAACAACAGGCATGCCAGAGTATTTTTCAGTAAGCTATGATCACTAACCTTACAAACGATTGTGAAAATATTGTAAAAAGTTTCTTCTTTTCAGAGAACCCGATAAAGATATATTTAGCATTTAGAAATTATTCAAAATTCAGGATGTTTTAGTCAATGCTACAGATACTAAATAAATCGGTGGTTTTCTGGAAAAAATATGCACCGTCATTAATCTACCAATAACTGAATTTATGCTGATCATCACATTGGTGACTTGTTGCCATCAACAATTACACCATATGTTGCCAACTTAATTCAAGACTAGAATAAATTTTCTCTCACCTAAAAACTTAACTTCAAACAAAAACAACATTGTATTGACAAGAAATAAACAACTGCTCTTAATTATAAATAAAGCACTTTATAAACACTTCTAGTTACCAAAGAACTATCAGTTGATTTGTACTTGCCTTAATGCTATATTAGCAACAGCTTTTTTTGGGATGGATGAAATATAGTAATACGAAATAAATTTTTTACATATTAATCTTTAAAGAGTAATACTTAAGTTTGAAATTCAATGTAATCACTACTCTTCTGACAGTTTACTTCCAGAAAATAAAAAGAGTAACCAATGAGATAATCTGGCTAAGATAGGATATCCTCAGTAAGGATATTACAAAAGAGATAAACTTTGTAGTTGTTCTCAAATAATATCAGGTGTGACCTATGCACTACAACATGGTGGTGCTTATGACAATTTTGTACTAACTATAAAATAGTCTGCAGTTAATATATGTTATTAAAAGTTTTAATACAAATTAGAACACAACCTAATAAAATCATGTCAGAATATTATGAAGGTGTTATACACTTCAGCATTCACTTAATATTCTCTCATTCTAAAACTTGTTGCATCTGTATAAACATTCAAAAAATACTGAAGAAACATTTTATAATACAGGATGCAATTCAACCTAATGACTATTGTGATGTAACAATTAAAATAAAAACCCACACATTTTAAAATTAAGTACTATCCAAAATAGTAGTTTGGTAAAACAAAACAAAAGGTTTCTCTTAATTCCAATTAAACCAATATATCCACCTAAATCTTGAGAAAGTTTTAAAACTAGTCAATTAATCCACATATCCCTTCTCTTGCACTGATTACGAAACAGTTCACTTGCATCAAGTGTCATCATATTACATGCAAAAACTAGGTTATAAATAACATCTTACAGAAAAACAACTTTTTTAATTCACCCTGGTCTAACCTGCATATGTTAAAGATTTTGATTCTCAACATACAGTTAAAGCATTGATATACAAATTTGCATAAGTACAGTAATGTTATGGCAATCATTATCATAATACATAGCCTATAGAATCACCTACGTCTAATTAATTACTTAAAATTGTTTAATTAGCCATTAATTATCAGTTTGCTTATATCCTATATTTTGGGTGCTAATCTGCTGCTGCTGCCTTCAAGAGAATTATGAGAAGGACTGTGTGGTGTGGGAAAGTTGGAATCCAATCCTGAGAAAGCCAGATGTGCTATCCACTTTTTCAGCTGGCTCTTATTCCATTGAGACTTAATCAAATAACTATTTTAGTGTTTTCAAGGAAGACATCCAGGCTCAGCTGACTTCTATGCTAAGTTGTCTGAGTTCACCATCATTTATTTTAATGCTTCTTTTGTCTTTCTGGTGTATGATTTGTATTTTAGCATTATTCTGTTCTATTGGATAACCTTCTTTTTCAACATGATGGGCTATTACAAACAGATCTATATTAGTCTTGTGCTCATGATTTCAGACTTTTTGGTTTCTCATAGGTGTTGGACTCTGCAAGCATAAGGAATATTGTAAATGTTGTTTTTTCTATCCACTATTTGAATATATCCTGAACATTTGGCAAGTAAGAAAAACTAAGCATAAAGTAGGAATAAAAATACAGGCACACAAAACCATATTATCACTATGTCAAAGGTCTCTCTGAAAACATACAAAAGATATAAAACAGCATAAAAGAAATCTTCAGAAACCTCAATACAGACTCAAAAGAGAGAATCAAAAAGTCAGAACTCAGAAGCATAAACAAACAAGAGTGTAATATTGATTAATCTACAATAGCCCATCATGAAAAAGTATTATGAAATAAAATGAAGCATTCTACAATCAACTAACTGTTGACACATCCTGATAACGTAGCATAGAAGTGAACAAATTCTGGGTGCCCTACTTGAAACCATTCAAAATTTGCTGATTCAAGCTGTAATGGGGTGAAAACCCTGAAAGATTAATAGTACATGTCTTCTTAATAAGGAGATCCAAGATCAAATCCTGGCTTCTGCCAACTTGTACAATTTTTCACAGAGCTTCCTGAAGATAACAGGTAAAACATAGGGTATAAACTAACTAATGACAAATAGATCTTTTAGAAACTGTGTTCTTGAAAGATTTGATTTTTGCCATTTACTGCAATATATTTACACCAAAAAGATGTTATAAAGGTATGGCATTCAAGGTACTATTACATAAAGATAAGTAATATATTATAAAAGGTATGTATATACATATACAAGTATGGTTAGAATATAAATATTCAGCAAAATACTACAAAACTATTTGAAAAATTGATCTAAGCTGTATTTTTGTGCTGACAGAAAATTGACTGTCATTGTTAAAAATATTCATTAACAAAATACCTTCTTTGAAGGTTTACAATGTCTATATAAAGCACACATAGTATAATAAACCTTTTTTTATGAGACCATAATAATAAAAAATACTTTTTCTTCTTATACTTTTAATAATGGATGATGTGCCTTTCCATTACAGGCAATGTATTTAAAAAAGAAGCATTCTACAATCAACTAACTGTGTGTGTGTGTAAGCACATGCACTTTTGGGAATTATGTACAATAATTAAAGATTTGAATTTTCATATAATAGAAAAACTGAATTTCAGCACAACTCAGTCAATAGCATTTTCATACAATTCCTTTTCATACTGTCTCAACTGTTCCATAAATCCAACATTAGGCTTAATAAATGGCCTTACACTTTTTACTTTACCAAAAGCCTCATCAAGACATAATTTTTCTCTGTTCATCAAATAACCAATAACTAATGTAGCTGAGCGAGACACACCAGCATTACAGTGAACCAGCACCCCACCCTCTTGCAGACCATCATCGATGAACTGGAAGCACCCATCAAAAAACATCCGAATGTTAGCTTCTGGAAGGTCTAAAATGCCGATTCGTTTATAGATAAATTCTTCCTCAAACACATTTGGAACTCCAGTAGCTACATTTAAAATATGTGTTACATTCATCTGGTGTAGAAGATTCAGATCTTCAGCAACATCCTGAGATCCTGTACAGTGATAAAATATTTTTATTACATTATTGATTGCACATTTTAAAAATATATAAATGAAACATGATCTGTTAGCCAAACTAATTTAAAATGATAACCTTATGTACTTATGTGAATAAAAACATTACATAAACAATATACAACCTGACATCTAGGAGGGGAGAGGGTGCTTTTTTCTGCACACTGAAAGTAAATGAGTTTTTGTATCGTCTCTTGGAGACACTGGAGTACATACAAGCCATGCTCCAGCTTAGTGTCCTTTCTACTTACTTCCACAAAATATTAATCTACTAGGTTGGGTCAATCCAATACTGGCCAGAGAAATCTTTGGGCCTGAGACAAGCATTTTGTTTTGGCACCCTCCCACAGAAAGTTCAGTTCAAGTTTTTTTAACTAGACCCACTTCCCCCAAGTTCTCCACATTAAATGTATAACTAATATCAACATGTAATTTCTTGACACTATACTAATGGATTTCAAAATAGAGGGTATCAAGGTTTACCATCCAAAGCTGTTTTAACCTCTCTAAATACCTGGCCACAGGACTAGTTACCCATTAAATTCCTATATTCATTATCCACATTAAAGGACTATAATATTTAGTCATTCTGTTTCACTACTTTTAATGACTTTCAACTGAATATTATAAAATAGCACCTACTGCTACAGTTCTGGGCAAGAATAAACACTGGATTATACAGAGAAGCCTTTGAAAGTATTTAAATTATAAGCATGCATATCCAAGTTATAATACACAAATTCTTAATAAAATACCCACAAATTACACATATAAAAGTTAAGGAACATATATTTGCTTTCTTTAAGTGGTGTTTTTTTATCAATATAGAGTTTGCTTACAAAAATTTTATACACCAAGACATTAGATAGCACATTTTTTCCAATTTTTTTTTTGTTGATATGCTTGTGAAGGGAATGCTAGTAATTATTTTAGCATTTCATATAGGCAAGTTTGAAATGAATAATCTTGATATCAAACTGTTATGTGCACAATGAAATTATATGCCTTCTATGAAACATGACTGTAAGCAACAATGAATGAATTAAAACAGAATATTTACTTTTGAAAGCATTAGTAAAACTTTTAGCAATATATGTTGTGCATCTCACACAACAGAGTAATAAAGTGAAACACGATTTTTACTTCTGAAACAAAAGCTTTAGTCTATATTAAATGACTATAAACTGCAAGTTTCACACAATAATGAAGGCCATGTAAAAACATGACAATTTACTTTTAAAGTTTAGTCAGTAATACCAATATACATGTAAAATGAAAAGTTTAGTCAATCGTACCAGTATACATGTAAAATGATAAAAATGTTACCAATTTTCAAGAAAACATGCACATGTAAACTTGTATAGTAAAACTGTGTTACATAACGTAATCTCCTTTACCTATAAACAATCTTGGTATCACTTCTGCTACAAAAATATGCAAGTCAGGTCTTATATCACTCCGATAGCCTAAACATCTCTCTTCTTTCATGGGAAACCAATCTTGGCTATTCCTCTTCTCTGGCAAATGACTTCCATTCTCTGTGGAGTTTATGTTTGCTACCAAGTACTTACTATAAGATGAAAGTTCCTGCAACTCTTGCAATAAATTTTGCTGTTCCATGATGGCAATGGTAGCAAAGTTGCTAATCCATTTCAGTCACAATATTCTGAAGAGCATAATATACAACACACAACAAATGAACTGATTAAAGAAAGTAACATATGAAACTAAAACCCAGCCTGTATATAAAAGCTACTGCCACATTTTGTTTCAAGATTTCTAAAAGAAATATACAATGAATACTTTACACTAACAAGAAAATGCTGAAACAAGTAGTTAATAAAATGGCAAAAGTGTTAATTATTTCAGTTGAAAACATTAGAAAATAAGTGCTGTACTATGGAGTGGGAACGAGTATAAATTGTGAGTGATTAATTGTCAGTTTCTTACATTGCTGTTGTTTTTTTCATCAAGTGCTTAATACTGGTGGGCCAAATCAAGTCTAAACTATATATAGGTGTACTCGAATAGTTTCACAAGATAGTATAGGTTATAATTACATTTAGGTTCACAATTAGGCTATCTGTGCAATTAATAATAGTTGAAATAGCAAAGTTTTTAAAGTATAACTGTGTATTTAGAACAGAATAGGAAAAGCATTATATTCATACATTCAAAAGCCTATGGCAACCTTTGATATCTTCTGACCTACCAAATAATTACCTCATATTTCATAATTTGTAAAAATCTACAATTTGCTCCATATATCTTATTACCTTTTATTTTAGAACATCTTTGAGGATTCTTCCTTGTGTTAAGGCATGCTAGGTAAAACCTTCAGTTCTTAGGGTTGTAGCTGACGTGACTGTCTTGTAAATACAACAATTCTAGTATGCTCATCAAAAGAAAAAAAAAGACTAGTATAATTTAATTAGTCATTTCACAACTACATCCGAGAATTCTAACTATATCCATGATGTATTGGTGGTCTTTCAATAGATTAAAAACAATTTTAGCCGTTCTTTTAAATACATAGAAATGCAAATAAGCATTCTGCTATTTCTACTCTCTGACTGAGTGACACATATGTATCCAACTTAAAATCTACCAAGATGCACTGTCTCTGGTACTTAATCTTCCTTGTTTATGAAAGGAATGTTCATAGTAGGTTTAACTGTCTTAGTTTGAGATTTTCATAATTTTTTCTTTTATTACCCATCGCTACAGATTTTTTTTTCCCCCTTTATGGAAATAGCTCATTTCTTCAATTTTCTCTAACATTGCTATCTGATGCCTACCCAACTATCTAAATATACACAAGCTCCCTTTCTTATTTTCTCCAAAAAAATATTATCTGTTCAAAAAGTGTTGGATAATGTTGCTGAAGGTTATAAACCTTTTTTCATTCTTTTTCCTTTCTCAGGTTTCAGGTACCTGCTACCAATGCTTATGGCTTATCACCTAACAGGTGATCTGCATCTCGTTCTTCAATACTTTAAACGTTATCAGCTCAAGTGGGAGTGCTATTTTAAATGAAGTTAAAAACATGAAATATAAACTTTTAGATCTCTACCTTGATATCCTATCAGCTTCAGCACTGACTAACCAGTCTCTCCAGATTTGTTTGACTTGCCATTATTTCAGGCTATCAATGTCTTTTTTAGCAAATTCAGACATTTCAAGGCCTGGAATTTTTTTTATTTCAAAATTCAATAACTTTTCAGGATTTACATGCTTTTCAAAAACACTGTTTTGAGTGATAAAAACTAATATCTTATAAAGATTACATACTTAACACATTTATCTAAACTCATAACTGTTTACTAGAATCAGATCTGGTCTGGTGAAATGCAGCTTTATCCAGCTAAACCATCACACTTTACACAAGAACTAACAAAAAAAAATGATGGATGGCTAGACTGGATTACTATAACAATAGAAGTTCTGTTCTTTCTCTGCAGCAGACATGCTCTATGACCACTTACTAATAATTTCCAGATTTTTAGCACTATAGGTAATGTGCTGCAGTACAGAACTGCTTTTGACACTCAATGTCAGTATTATTTTAAAAACACCACAGGCTGACAGTGTACTTCAATATATATATATATATATAGATAGATAGATCATTGTGGATCATTGTAGTAAATGGAAATTGGGTGTTTCAGAAATAAGTTTCATTAACATACCACATATATTAATTTCCTAAGGGGGGTTAATAAGTAATGTTACAAGCTTTCAGACAGGACTGATGCCAATATTTTAAACAGAAAATTGTGTACACATGTAGATAGCTTTTCATACTTCATATTACTGTCATACTGTTCTATGGTTCAAAAGAAATTAGTCTACAAGGGTTGGTACCTGTCCCTGTAATTTTCATCAATTAGGATTACAAATTTCAATATTTCTGAAGAATGAAGTTAGATTATGTTGCTTGACCAAATATCACTTATTTTAGACATCTTTTCAGCAGACACATCATCTAAACATCCATGGTACATAAACTTGTTTTCTCATGAACCTATACAGCTACCTCCATCAGCAAGTTGTTCTTTCCTATTCCAGATACTACAAGAGTCCTCTGGTTGTGAATCAACAATCATTTTCTTACTGCTTATTTAAAAAAAATAGCATTTTCAAGTTCATTGACGGGCTTATTTCAGAAGGAAGTTTTTATTATGTTTCTGTGTTCTATATCCTTCACAGTATTTATGAATTGTATTGTTTCTCTCAAAGATTTTAAACTAAATGTAAACAGGTACAGAACTGGTAATCTCATAATACAGAACTTAGTTTTTTATTATTGGTTCTTTGAAATGACTGGAGTAACTAAAATAACGTATGAGGTAAGCAATATACTACGATGCCACAAATACGTAAAAGAATGGATGAGACAATGATAAAAAGATAAAATTGGTGGTAAGCTAAGCAGCAATCATGAATAAATCAAATCCTTTAATGACAAATGACTATCTTAAGGAGTAATAAGAGGTTAAACTAAATTACCAAAATGAAAAACAAACTGTTAAAATTGAAATCTCTTGAAAGAGAAAATATGTAATGAAAAACAGAATATAACCATCTTTATCCTTCAACATCAGAGGTGATACCTTTTTCAATTAATAATGGCAACTAATGTCAATGACTAAATATTCTGTATTAAAAAACAACAACAAAAAATCCCCTTGCACACTGAAGTCATCGTCAGACTTTCCAAAATTTAAATAGCTTTATTAACTTGTTAAGTATAAACCTTTCTTCTACGACTTCGAGATGTTAGCTGGATGATAACCAACTGTAACAGAATGATTTAAATTGTCAATCTCCTAAAAAAGAAATGTTTACTTTTAACTTCAGACATTATTAAGCAGTGCAAAAATGAAAAATTATCAAAAATAAAACTACTCATTACCCATTCAGTCCATAGTCCACAAACATTGTGGAAAAAATAAATTCACAAGTGTTCTTTTTAGCAACAACAACAAAAAATGAGATCACACTGTCCAGAAGATAAACACACTTTATACTGAATAGTTCTTAGACTGTAGTTTTAAGTTTTTGAATAGCGAGAAAGTTTACACAATGGTAATGCTGAAAATGACTGTTTTGATACACCTTTGAAAAAATTATCTACATACATTACTTCAGTATTAATTAAGGCCAATAGGTTTATATTTAAGAAAATCACAGGTCTAAATAATATAATACATAGAAACATGAAAATGTCATCATACTATTTGATATTTTAAAATTAAAGTTATGATCTGGATAGAACTATATCAGTAAAGTGTAATGAATTCTAGAGATTATTTCAACATTTAATTTTAAGATTGGCAGAATAGCATTATAATATAGTCCTTTAAGAAAAATTAGTGTGATAGAAAAAAAAAAAAAGAGTTGGCCACATTAGTATTCACATAGTTTTAACTTTATTTGAATTGTTTAAGACAATTACGTTTTCAATAAAACTAAAAAAGCATAAATGATGAGATCTACTGCTGAATCAATTTATTTATTACTATTAATTTAAACCTTTGACTTTGAGTAACAACAGTTCCGACTGTAGACCTTACTGCAAGTTGTAACTTATAATGTAGCTTGTAATAAATTGTAACTGTAAGGCAGAAACACAAAATAAACAGAACTCAAACAAAAAATAATTTCTTGTTTCTACTTTGAGCATGCAACTCGAAGTACATATTTCACTTATCATTGTTTACAATACAAATAGCGATATCCTTTGCTAAGTATACCGTCAAAGGCGTCATACTTGTTAACAACAAACTTAGAAAGCATCAAAAATTCAAAACCACACTACCTCTCTTCAATCTAGAATAAATGGCCCTGGTGATATTGTGCAAAGCAAGATAAAATTGCAGTCTCCCTTATAAAAAGGCAAATTTGTACGTTTACGGTTTTTAAACAATATTTATTTCTTACCAGTTCGCGCAATTTTTGGACACCATCCAGTTAATAGTTAGTGTTAATTATCAAGATTATTTATAGGTTATACCACGTCATAAATACGTGATACACAGGGTCATTTGTGTTTTCAAGTTAATAGGGGAGTAAAAAAGTCCAACACGTGCACGACGAAAACTTCACAAACAACCTACGTTACAGTAGTAACTACTGTACAAGTCGCACAACTTATTAAGTTACAAGTAACGCGTTTAGTGCTAGGAGTAGTAGTAGTGTACTTTGTAGTATAAATACAAGCTGTAACTTGTATAGTTCTCGGATCAAATACGATGTGCATGAAACCGTGAAGGTAGTACAATTGTAGAATTACACCGAATTGTGAAAAATGATGAACTAATTTTAACAAAAAAAAGTGTGTAATCTAATAGTAGTACAAATAGCACGCAGATGTTAATTATTTTTCTATTTGGATTTTGACTTTATGTAACATGTTACGCATTATAATTTCATATAGCCTGAAATTGAGTTAAATGATACTTTAAATTTAGTAGTTAAATT